TCTCCTGGACCTACTCAAACTCTCTGTTGGGTTTTCCCTGCTTGTGGTGCAGTTAGTGCCGCCGAGAGCAGGCTTTGATCTGAGGCTGGTGCTGCACACTGGTTTGTTGGTAAACTTTGTTCAGGCTTTTATTGGGCTCCCTAACGTAAACCGAAGGCTGCGATCAAGGGGGGAAATAAAGGAGTAAAGAGGGGATGCATCTTAAACCAGTGGGAATATCTCCAGGTTCCCAAAGACCCCGCTGTAATAATATTGGGCTTGCAGGTGCAAGAATATCTGTGGGAGAATAACAGCAGGAGAGGAACAAGAAAGGAAAACCCTTCTGTTGCTTAGGTGAAAGATTAAAGAGCTGTGAGAGGCTCTGCAGGCTGCAGAGCTGATTTGCAAAGGCTAAGGGACCGAAGATGCTGTGCGACAATATAAAGGGGATTTCGGTACTTACTGCAGCTGTGCAAAGCTTCTGTCGGAGCATCCCCAGCCCCGAGACTGGCGCGTGAGCTCCGTACCCGAGTGCCCAAGCTGCGGGGCTCTGCTCCCGTCCTTCCAGATACCATCGATGCGGGGAGGATCTCCATGCTTACTTTTCCATGAGGTTTGCAGTATTTGCCCAAGGTGCAAGAAACTTGTTCTATGTCTGGCTTTGGCTGAGAAGATTGAAATCCATAGCTCCTAAACTTAGGAGAGGTCCTCAGCCGCCTGGCTTAGTCTTTGCTGAGGATTGTCAAGGAGCGTTCATCACTTCTGATAAAGCTGTATCGCTTGTGGAAGAAATAAGGAACATAGTCCTAATGACAGCTAATAATTTTTTGGCCTAATGACTTGGGCTGGACTTTGATCCTTGCTCCCAGCTTTACTGATTATTTTTACTTAACGGGTCTGTGAATACCATAACCAATTTGTAGGCTAACGTCTGGCATTGTAGCTGCTTATAGACTTGAGAAAAGGCCGGGTTAGGTTCTGCTTTTGGATTTTGATACCCATGTGTCCTTTTAGTTTCTTGTGGCCACATCTGGGCCTATATTGTCATTCTTATTTAACAGGAATGCTTCCTAGTGGAGACGGTGAGAGGGAAAGGCTCATGTTTAAGGATGCTTGGCAATGAGATGAATCTGAATTGCTGATTTAATTTCAGAATTGACTTATAATGACAGGAGTTATAACGATGATTATATTTTATTTTGGCAGCATATCAGCCAAGGCACCGGTATGTCAGCCACATATCACAGAAACACAGCAAAAGAAAAAATTCATTCTGAAAGTAGTTTTCAGCTTAAATTTAAGACTTATCTTTTTTTTTATGGGTTCTGTTTTACATTATGGAGATATTAAGCCTGAAGAAAAGGTGTATTCAAAGGTCTGTATTTTTCCATTATCTTCACATGTGCAGGGAGGCTTTTTTTTTTTTTTCCCCAGCAAGAAGAGGACAGGCACAGCTTGCCATTCCTTATGCACCTAT